GGGGGGGCTGCAGAAAAGCCACAGAAGATTAATAAACAGGAAGACAAGCCAGTATCCAGAGTTATGGACAGAAAATTTTTAATGTACCAATATGGGTGGAACCAAACTGCGGTCTTAAAAAACAACAACATAGCCTATACTGCTTGTTTGACTTGGGAGTGAGAGGGAGGGTAAATGCAATCAATGCAGCAGTTAGAAAAAGCAAGAGTTCAGAAGTTTTCAAGATGAAAAAATTCAATTGCTTTTTTTGTTTGCTATTTTGTTTTATGTCATTATGGGGGAAATACATAAAATAACAGAAATATGCAACAATGTGGACAAGCTAAGGTGTTAACAAAGTTACTACAATTATTTTAAAGTTGCTTCCTTAACAAAGTTACTGCAATGTTATTATAGTCTTGCTTCCCAACTTGCTTCCCAAAATGGTAGCCCTGTTGGACTTCTGCTCCCTCCTTACACCCCTGATGGTGGCTACGGTTCCCAGCACCTTGCTGTTTGTTTTTAAAATAATATCTTTATTGATTTCAGAGAGAGGAAAGGAGAGGGAGAGAGAGAGATAGAAACATCAATGATGAGAGAGTCATTGATCGGCTGCAGCCCGCAACCCGGGCATGTGCCCTGACCGGGAATCGAACCCCATCGCCTGGATCCTAGGTCGACGCTCAACCATTAAGCCACGCCTGGCCGGGCCCCAGCACCTTGCTGTTTGAATCCTAGTCAATCTGACAAAACAGATAGACAGGATAGATTTAATCTGGATGCAAGGAAAAAGCAGCCCTTTGGGTTTATACTTTAATAGTGTCTTCTTATGACCATATCATTGACTTTTTAAGGATACAAAGCATTCATTTGAAGGCAGAAGGAATAGAACCAGTGGAGAGAAACAGGAGGCTCTGGAAGATGGCCTAACTACCTACTTTCAGGAAAGAATCTGGGCAAAGGGCTTCTCACCACTTCTTTTGGCTGCTTTCTAAGTGGCATTTCTGTGTGTGTGTGGGGGGGGATGGGTACTTAATTTTGGTATTTTAATGGAACTTCCTAGACTGTCACTGAAAACGATAATCTGAATTTTTATAAATATTTAGAAATACACAAGCATATTTTGCTGGTGAACCCACATGCTGATTTAGAGAAACAGTTCACCACATTTGTCTTCTCCAGGGAGCTACACCGGGGGAAAGAAGTTACAGTGTTTAAATGATAGGAGAATTTGACAACTAAACTACAGGCAGTCCAATCTGCGTCTTCAAGAATTGTTCCTTTTTCTTAATAAAGAATAAATGTAAGTGCCCGGCTGGCATGGCTCAGCGGCTGAGCATCAACCTATGAACCAGGAGGTCACAGTTCCTTTCTGGGTCAGGGCACATGCCAGGCTGCAGGCTCGATCTCCAGTCAGGGGCGTGCAGGGGGCAGCCGATCAATCACTGTATCAATCATTGATGTTTCTCTCTCTCCCTCTCCCTTCTTCTCTCTGAAATCAATAAAGACATACTAAAAAAAAAATTAAAAAATGAACACATGTAAGTCCCATTCAGGATAACAGGAAGCCGCAGAGCCCTGTACGCAGAGCCCTGCGTTTGCACCACGCCTGTCTGTGCCACTTGGGAAGGCCTTCGTATGGAGCCTTACATGAACTTGGCTTGCTAGGCTACTAAATCCAAAAATTGCAATTTATCATTTTGTTTTCTTGTTATTTTCATGCTCCTGTTTTTTTGTTATTTTCATGATCCCCGCCCCCAAACTCTATGAGGTTCTCTTGTCTGTTTTGCTTTCTAGAAACAATTGAAATCTAAAAGAACAATTTTACTGTTACTCAAATATCATTTCTGTGATCCTCAGTTTAGAAATCAGTGTATGTTAGCCTTCCTAGTTCTCTCTCTCTCTCTCTCTCTCTCTCTCTCTCTCTCACACACACACACACACACACACACACACTCTCTCTTTCTGAAGTGGTTTTAGGCTCCCTGGAAAATGGTAAATGTTTCTGACGCTGCCTATCAGGCATGTTACTTAACACAATTTCCACTTAAAACGTTTCTTGTCTTTAAGATACATGTATGTCCGTTGTTTCTAAAACTAATGAAAGTTTCTTGAAGATGTGAGCTGTTTTCTGAAGGTTAAGGGCCTCAATGTCTGTTTAATTTCTGAGCTGCTCAGCATCTATAGCTATCTGCCTGCTCCAGGTATACAAATTCTTTAAAGTACCAACTCCAACCCTGGGGTTCTTACTTATAAATGCCATGGTTTGTTCTGCATTTATCAAGAAAACTGGACTCGGGCCTAAGTATTATAGTGGCAACAATGCTGCTCAGGTTGTAAGGAAATCAAACCATATTATATTTGGCTTGGTTTCAACACACATATTACTGACACGTGATCCTTTCTCACTGCTTTTCCACATTTTCTTTAGAAGTGTGGCCTCACCACTGGCATGTCAGACAGGTTTTATTGATCACTCCTTTCATTTAGATCATCAGATCACCTATTCAAGCCATTAGTTACCTCCACATTGGCTCTTCAGGTTTTCTTATTTCTTCATGAAATTAATTCTCTGTAAATAATTTTCACAAGCTAGTCCAGATATCACTTCAGCTAGTTCTGTGTTAAACTTACCTCTGACACTCACCCAAAGCAGTCTATTTGAAACAATAATAATAAAATCTAATTATGACCTTAATGAACTTTCTCATGGTAGAGAATTTGAAAAATGCGAAGGAGAGGCTGAAATGTGAGAAGTTGTCATTGAAGCATCTGGTGGTGTCTACTGCTCACTGTGTCCTTAGGTTTGTATTTTCCTTTTGTTTGTTAATAGCGCACAGCATTCATAGGGAGATATATCTGATTGCCAGGGGAAATTTAACATGGAACGAAACATTTGTAAGCACCCCTGGAATGTCATTTAGTCCAATATTCTATCTTCATCTAGGATCACACTGGATCATGCCAGACGGTTATTCCCAAAACCTGCTGGAGGAGAGTCACCAAGTTCCATGAGCACCCCATCCAATGTCTAAATGTTCTAATGCAAGCCCCAACCCTGCCCCAAAACAAAACAGAACAAATCAGCAATAAAAAGAACTGTGAGCCAAGATCTGAGTATTTAAGAGATCCCACTTGGAAGGCCCATATTCACAACCCATAGTGCTTCTTTTTAATTAAAAATCATTACTTAATGGAACACTGTCCCAACTAA